TTCAATATCAGAGTCTCTATCTCCAAGGCACTTGCTTTTTGCTTGTGTGTGTGTGTGTGTGTGTTGTGTGTGTGTGTGTGTGGTATGTGTGTGTATGTTAAAGGGAGATGTGGGGGAGTGTCCTCTGGCCTTGAGGCAGCTGCTGTGTCCAGCTCAAGTATCAGCCAGAGTAGCTGGTGAATTAATCTAGCAAAGATGGGGACATTTCTCTGGAAACCCTTTTTCTCTGTACAGCTTCTATTAAATGGTTTGGACAGATTCTTCCACGTGTGGCCACTATGCCACAGTGAGAAGAGAGGAGAACAGAGAGCAGGCATTTATTGCTGTTGCTCCCACCTCTGTATAAGTGTAACTGCCACACATATTCTCACTGACACCCCCAATTGTCCACAGGGAGTGGGTGGGAATGGGATTAGTCCTGTGCTAACACTCAGATTTGCTATGAAGGTAAACGTTGTAAGAAGGGGTAGTAGATGGAAGCAGATTGGATAATATCTACAATATGGTGTGTCTGGAAATGAGGCCTCAACTCAGAGACTGCTTTCCAAGGGCAATTGTTGATTTCACTGTGTCCCCGCAAAATTTCATGTGCTGAAAATTTAATCCCCCCCAAAAAATGAGAATCAAGACTTGTCATGTGGAGGTACAAGATCCCAACAATGAATGTAACTGTACTGTATCACTGAAATGTACCAATAAACTCAATTAAAGCTGAAAAAAAATTTAATCCCCAAATTTATATGTTAATAGTGTTTAGAAGTGGGGACTTTGGGAAGAAACTGGGATTAGATGAAATCATGAAGTAGGGCTCCCATGATGGCATTAGTGGCTTTATAAGAAAAGGAAGTGCTGGACGTGCTGCTACATACCTGTAATCCCAGTACTTTGGGAGGCTGAAGCAGAATTCCAAGTTCAAACCAAGCCTGGATGATTTAATGAGACCCTGTCTCAAGATTAAAGAAAAAAAAAGCTGGTGGGGGAGATGTAGTGTTCAGTCTTTGGCATGGGGATTGGGGTGGGGAGAAGATGAAGAGAGATACTAGCTAGCTAGCACGCTTGCTCTGCTTGGTCATGTGATGCCCACCATCATGTCATAATGTATCAAGGAGGCCCTCACCAGATCCTGGGACCATGTTCTTGGACATCCCAGATTCCAGAGATGTGAGCAAAGTAAACCTCTATTCTTTGTAAGTTATGTAGTCTGGAGCAATAGAAAACAGTTCAAGATTGCAGCCAACCTGTCCCACAACATCCTTCTCCCATTTCATTATTGCCTTCTTTCCTGAGATTGACTAGGCTATGGTGGAGTGTTTCAAAATAAATTTCAAAATTAACACATGAAGAACATACAAATGTTATTTCTACCAAACTCTCTTTGCACCAACTTAGCATACAGCAAGCATGGCCAAGAAGGGCAGAAATTTAGAGGATAATTCTGAAGACAAAGGCCAGTTCATGTATAGAGTCTCAGCGTAGTTTTGCATTCTGTAAAAGTATAGACGGAAATCAGCACCTTCCCTGAAATTCAAATTTACCACAGGGCTGAATTCAAACCTTAAAAAATTGTTTTTTCTTAGACAACTAGGATGGGGAAGTAAATACTATTCCTCTTCTCTAACAAATGTAGGCACTCCATCCACCACTAGTAGAATGAGTTGATGTTCAGTTTTTGCTGTGGCAGGTTTCTAAAACATAACCTGCTTGTGTGTTTGAGTCTAGAGCAAGTTTCACTGTGTTAATTGGTATGATAAAAACACCTGGAAATAGAACATTTGCCTCCTTAAAAGGTTTGCAGTTGGGCTGATAGGGGCTGAAGTGAGCTTGAAGATCCATAAATGAGCCTGAAATGCTTAAGAGTTTCTTAGGCAATACCACTCCTTTATACGAGACCATCTAGTAAAGAGAAATGAGACCTACAGTAAATTAAGAGAACTCTTGATCCTAGTTATGTAGTGTGAAATTCCAATGGCTTAATCTTACACTGGACAAATACTAATCTGGTAAATTGGGTTCTGTGGTGTAACACTGAGAAATGTGCTACTACAGTGAGGTCTTTATTGAACTGTCCCTATACCACTTCAGGGAAAAGAGTGGTTGGGAGCCTGTCACAAGTAAGTTGCTTATTTATGTGAAATACCCTTTCTTAAACACAAAGAACTACACAAGCAAAGTGCTTTCCAGTCTTAAAAATCAATCCACTGTAAATTCACTGCACCCTACCCTACATACCTGCGTCACCCTTATCATACCACACAGGCATATCATGTCAGTGTACATGATGTGGGCTCGGTGGATGGCAGCCACGAAGCATGACACTCCCCCTGCAGCCTCAGAGAGTATTAAAAAGATAAACATTTGGTGACAAAGCCCCAAACCCACATTCTCAGAATACAAATAGAACTCTTCAGACAATTGTTCAGATCCAAAATTAGGTCCTGCTTCCAATAAAGCATGTTTTCTCCCTCCGCAGTTGCCCTTCCCCTGAGTTTGTGGCCAATATGTCCACTGCTTTTTACACAAGCAATATTAGGAGGAGAAATAGCTGAGCGGATATAATGTCTCAAAACATTTGAAAGTGCGCAGATTCACAACTGACCACTAGATGTGAGAGTGGGTCCTGCTCACATGTTACTGATGTGGCAGGGACCTGTGAATATCCCACTGCCATCGTTGAGCAGATAGGTAATGAAGAGAAAAGGAACTCTCTGATGGGAGCTGCTAAGTCAGTCAGTTTCAACTCAGGAAAAGTCAGTGAGCCAGAAATAGCTCAGGCCTTTCAGTATCAGGTACTCCAAACTGCTTCTGAGCCAAGGGCACAGGGAGCAAGCGCTGAAGCCAGCAAGGTCATTTACTCATGGTGTTTGCAGTTTTAAAATATTATTAATGAATCTGGAAACCTTCAAAAGATTATTCAAGGAGTCCCAAGTCAGTCCCAAAGCAAACATCATTACAGTGATCCGCAAAGGCTTGACTATGTGAAAAGTGAGATAATAGGCAGGGATTGTTGTTTTCTTTTTAATTATTCAGATGTCATCTGGAGGCACTCCAACAGTTGTTGCTGTACCCAGGGCACCTTTCTCTAAGGGAATTTCTTTTTCTCAGACCTTGCAGAGACCGAGAGCTCAAAGAGAACTGAGCAGTAATACACTCCACTTGCTTACCTGTGTAGGGACTGTCAAGCACAATGTCCCTGAGAGCCACTGCCCAGCCACTTCCTGAGCATGTCTGGATAAGTAGAGGAAATGCCCCTCTTTAATTTGTAACAACCCTGCCTGTTCCTGAATGGGTCATTTGCTGTTCCTCCCTCTATTTTAGGAGTCCTTAGTCCTCACAGAATCATGGAAACCTTGTGCAATTGGCTTCCCGCATGGTTGTCCTGGAGGGGTCACTTAGACTGGATTACTGAATAATTGCCCGTGAGTCACTGTTCTGAGTCAAAGTTCCCCTCCATGCAGGAACAGACAATGCAGCAATTCTCCTCAGAAAGGTGCTTCAAGGTGATTGCATTGTAGGGAGCTTGAGGCCTTTTGTTTTATGTGAACATAGTTTTAGATTACAGAGCCTTAAGTTTTGGGGAGAAATTAATCTCTAGGCCTACGGAAGAGGAACATTATGAAAGAAACTACGTGAGATGTTAGCCAAGGGAAAAGAAAATATTTCCTACCCATTAAAGCAAAAATCAAGCACTGAATCTGACTCCAGATGTAGTGAAGTATAAGGAAAGCCAAAAGTGCTAGGCAGATTGCTAACTCCTGTGAGAAAACAAGAAGAAAGCTTCACTGATTTTTATCACAACTATTTTTCAGCATCATTTAGATTGATTTTTCATTTGGGGTTAAGACCTACTACATGTTCCTCATGGGGAAATTGCCCTACTGCTCTTCCTTCTCAACTTCTAATATGTATAAGACTTTCCATAATCTTTCTAGAAATAATCAATCCACTTGTTTTTTAAACCTAAAAACCTCCTCCAAAGGTTTCCTCACACCAAACATTTATTTTTGTCATTATGCATCTGTAAAAATAAGTATCTTTCACACAAGCATGCTATTTAAAAATTTCCCCAAATCGTTTCCTTTTATTGTTTCATGAAATTTGAGGTCCACTTGAGCAGGCACAATCAGAAAAATGAGTCATTTTCTGATGTTTGTTTTCCTCATCATCTGATGACCCAGGAGCACAGAACTGGAGGACACTTCTTTGACAGCCTCTAGTTGGGTCAGTACTCATACCCCACACATCATTTACGAATGCTCAAGAGTCTGAAGTGACTGTGAACATTCTTTTGTACAAAGAAACTACAAGATTTCTTCTGTGGATTTGAGACATGCAGATATCTAATCAGGCATTAGGAAGGGTGTGCTTCAAACATTCATTATAAAAAAGGAACAAATGATCAAGAGACTGTTTTAAAGATGCAAGAAAACCTTGCTTGTCTTGCTTCCAGGAGCCCACACTTAGGGTGCACAAGTTTAACTGAGCCAAATCTATCTTTGCTTAGCTATTGCCAACACATGCCTGGAAACCATGTATCTGAGGTTATTTTCCAAGAGCAGACTTAAAGCTAATTCAAATAAGCTCCTTGAGGGCTGCCAGGAATGACACAGAAGCAGATAGTTAGTCTTTAGGAGCCCAAGAGAGTTAAAGGGAAGGTTGAGTAAGAGCAGGTGGACATCACAAAGAACTAGGGACACCAGCCAGTCACTACAGACAAAGCAGCTATTAGCAACATGCTTGGGGCGGGCAGGCTTGCTTGTACCCTATCCCCTGGGAAGCCAGGTTTGAGGTCACCACCAATAGGCAGAGTGAAGTCAAATTTGTTTTTTGACAGAATGCTTTAAAAACAAGCCAGCATTGGAGCATGAGTTGTTTCTGCCCCACCCCCAAGGTCATGATTTCTTCCACCTCTTTTGAAAGCCCTTCTCTTTTGTTGTGCCCTATGCCAGTAGGACTGTAGGGGCCATGGAAAAGCATTCAGACACAAGAGCATGGGCACTAACCTGAGAAGCAGCTGCAGGTGAACTAGTTTCCTTACCACTCACTGCTGCCCTCTCATTGGCTGCGGCGTCTGCCATTTCTGCCATCTGCACATTCGAATTCTCAGAACCTGGAGACCCTATTTGCCCCGGACTTTCACTCCCTGGGGTGCAAAGTGGGTTGGTGGTGGCTTTTCGGGTTTGGCCTTTATACCAACTAGGGTAAAACAAGGGATCCGCAGTTTCCGCTGCTTCAGGGACTGGAGTTTCAGACTCTGTGCTCTGCTGAGAGCTAGTGGGCAGAACCTCACTCTTAATCAGGACAGATAAATTCAAAAGTAAAAAGAAAAAAAAAAAAAAACAAGGAACAAAAAAGAAAAGAAAAGAGAAAGAAAGAAGAAAAAAGAAAAGAAGAAAAAGTAGTTGATTTTAGTTCCCTTTGGGTTTGAACATTATGGATTCTAAATCAGTCCCTGATTTAGTGACTGCTTATTTCATCCCAGTCTCTGGAAGTGCTAGGGGCAGAATACTGATGATAGTGCCCTGTGTCTGGCGTCTGGCTGTGCCTGCTCTTGCTTTCTGCACTTGACTGTTACTAGGTGTGAGCTCAGGCAGATAGAAAGCAGAAACCTCAAATGAAAGTTGCTTATAAAATATCAGGTATTGGAGAAAGGTCAAACTACTGATAAGAATGAATTTAGCATTAATGTATGCCTCTAAACTGCTTTTTAAAAATCAGCAATTGACTTTATTGATCAAATTAAACCCTCTTTAATTACTATCCTTCTTTTAATTTCAATGCAAGGGGTAGACCCAGAATTTCAAGAGTCTAGGAAGTATAAATAGTATTTTAGCCTGGTTTCCCTATGGAGACAGGAGCAGAGAATATAATTCCATATCTAAATTTTCCCTCTGGGCTTTGTTTCTTCAGATAATTTCAAGCCACACTGAAAGGAGGTACAGAACTGGGGCTCCTGCAAATTTAACGAGTTGGATCCTGTTTGCTGAGGCATCATGAAGTCAGCAAAAAAGCTTGAAAACTGGACTGTGACATCCTAGAAACATAAGGTTAGCTGATCAAGTACAGCTTCTGAAAGGATCTAATTTCCAAAAATATGTTTTAAATAATCTTATTAACACACAGTCTCGACAAATGCCAAACATAGAAAACCAGGCTTCATTCGCTTGCCCACAGAAGGAAAGATAACAGTTAGTTGTATTATAGGGTAAGCAACAGGACCATAAAGAAGTGTGGCTTCTCTATTTATATCCTCTATTATCTACAGAAAATTCAAAGTTCTAAAGGTATAATCTTATTTCACATCTCATACTATTTCTCACACTGTACCCTATATTTGTACTCACTAAGCAACGCAAAGCAAACCAAATATCCATAGCAGCTCTCTATGAATTAACAGTTCTCTCTCTCTCTCTCTCTCTCACACACACACACACACACACTCTCTCTCTCTCTCTCTCTCTCTTTTCAGACAAAAATTGCCTCATATTTCAGTTTCCTTGGTGAGAAGGTGGTATTAAGTTTTGCTAACCAGTCATAACAATAATAAACCTTTTGAATCACCTAGAGAACTTTTCTCTCTGATATTCTGACTTTCCTGAAAGGTTTTGTCTGTCACATACAAATGTCTGGCATATAGCTATTCTTAAGGGAGAGCAAATTCTTTGGGGAGTTCAGAAAGTAGGCACAAGCTGTAAAAAGTAACCCCTGAATGGTTACCTGTGTCACTGAGGCATCTTCAGTAGGTGGCAGGGCTGGAAGTGGCTCTGGAGAGGAAACTGGAAGTGTCCCCAGGGCAGCCTCAAGCTCCAAGGCCAGCTGAGAGGACTCGGAGGCTTTTTCTGGACTTTCATCTTCTCCTGATGACTCTATTTGAACACTTTCTACCCCTTCCACTTCTATTATTTCCTCTTCTTCTTCTTCTCTTTCTCCTCCTCCTCCTTCTTCATCTTCTTCATCTTCATCTTCTAGGAAGATAATGTGATTTTAAACTCATTATAATTACCATTGCAGCTATAGAAAAAGTTCATGGCCAGAACCTATGGTTAAGGGAACTGTCATGGCTAAGAAAGTCTTCTCCAATAAACACTTGACAGTGGTCCAAATGGGCTGTGCTGGGGCCTTGTGTTTTAGTAAATATAGAGAGGAGAAATGTGAAGGAATCATCATGATTCTCCTTGCTCTCCTTTCCAGTACTAAGTCCCACCCTCACTGTGCAGCCTCCGGAGCTGCTCATAGTCTAGCACAGCTATAAGATTCCAGAGGATTGGGACAGTCACTTACCTCAGTCAAATTAAATGGAAATATAACCTTCTTTTCTATTTCTGAAAACAAACACTTGTTTTAATTTCTTACCTCATTCAGTGAATACATCAATTTTTGCCAAAATTAATGGCATCATTGATATTCCCTGAGGCAAAATTAAGTGATTTTTTTTTTTTTTTTTGGTACTGGGGGTTGAGCTCAGGACCTTGTACTTACAAGGCAGGTGGCAGCACCACTGAGCTAAATCCCTGGCCCAATTAAGCAAATTTTTAAACAGACCCATTATGAAGATTTGCCTCTAAAATTACATCTGTGACTGCTGATTCACCTGAGGGATCTAGCTGATGGGTGTTATTATCTAGATGGGCTAGGATGAGTCAAGGTGATCAAAGTGTGGGTCAGGTCCAAGGTTATTTTCCTTTTTTCATTTATTTTGTCAGGATAAATTTCCATGTGTGGGACTTCTGGGTCAAGTGTTAGGTCTATATTTATCTCTCATGGAATACATATGATCACATACATATACCTAGGTTTATTTCTAGGTTTTGACTTGTTCTTTGACTTGTTACTATTCTTGTCCTTTCCCATTTCATCAAATTGATGTACTACCTTATGTAGTCCAGATGTTCTATGTTTTATTTTTATCTTATTCTTAACCTTGCTCTTCATGACAATTTACTTCACCATGGCTGATGGGTTATAATCACTACCAATTATAAGTATTTGACAATCCAGAATCAAATTCATGCTAATGCTATTAAAATAGGCACTATAATATGCAAAGCTAAATAAGCACTCTCTGCAAACTATTTAATCTTGAAATTGAGCTTCACATCGGATCATAACCCTTGTAAAGTTGTCGATATCCATTCTGATGGTGATTCTGAATCCCCCTTTCCTCCCACCCAACTCTTCTGCAGTTTTCCCACACCTGTAATTTTGGCCAAATGGTCAAGAGAACAACAAACCTCTGTAAAAATCAATTTCTCGTATTATTTTTTCTTCTCTATTGAGATTGACTGTGAAGTGGTTCATGTTCTCATAACCATGTTCTATTTTCTCCATCTGAAATGCCTTCGATGCTTCCGAGATTCTGCAACAGAGACAGGTTGTCACTTTTTGTCACTGTTTAAAATTTGATAGCCATGGGTAAAAACGAAAATATGCATTTTCTCATTAAATAAAATGACTTACTTTTGTAACAGGGTTTTGGCATTCTGTGAAAGCAAACAAAAGATAAGTTTACTTAGACTCTTTTCAACAGGGGGTGATGAGACTTAATTCTTTCCTTTGTTGACCCTGAGAATCTCATGGCTTCATTGCTAAATGTCAGAAGTAACTGCTATTTTATCAGAATGTTCTTCTACTTAAGCAATGCCAAATGGAAAAAGATTTTAATTGGTAAAATAAAGTGTAGGTAAAATAATGGAAGTACAATGACAACTAATGGATAGAACTTTTGAGTTTGTTTCCTTGGTGCTGAGGAAAAGGCTTACCTGTAGAAATACTGCCATTTCCGGCTCATCCATGAACTGAATTCCTGACTCAACTAACTTCGATACATTCTCCAGGTGATTGGAATACTTTTTGATGAGTGCCCGGACATGTTCCAATTTCTCCTCTTGGGTTCGGGTGATGGCTTGTGTCATTTCATTCTTCCTCTCCTCTAGGATGCCATATAGGTAATCAAACTTCTCACAAAGATCTTGTTTCTGTTTTCTGCAGCAATCCTGTTAGTTGGGTGAGCTCAAATTAGAAAGTGCCTGTGAGAAAGTTTATATATATATATATATATTATATACTGCTCCCTTGAGCTGTTCCTTTAGGTACAGATATCTATTGTACTTATGCTAAAAAATCTCATTTTATATTTAGATAATTTAAAAATCAATCACATCTCTTAAGTGGATCAAATATTTTTTTAGTCTTCTGTTTGTTATGAATGGAGAATTTCATATAAATTTGAACAGATTTTGTTTTATATTTTATTTGAAATATGTAGGACACAAGTAATGTTTTCCTTTGGAGTAGTGTGTGTGTGTGTGTGTGTGTGTGTGTGTGTGTGCAAATGCATATGTGTGTAAGCAAAAAGTTATAGTATTTCCTGTTTTCTACCTTTCAATTTCTCTCTGCTTCATCAAAGCTGACTTTTTCCTGGTTTCAGTACCCTCTTATAGATTCTGTAGTTTCCCAAAGGCCTCTGCCCCTTGGATTTACTCCTCCAAACCAATCCAGAAACTAAAGCCAAATTAGTTTTCTCAGAGTACAGTTCTAATTATGTTTTTTTCTGTTATGACTCTCCATTGGATGAAGAGTAAGATTTAAACTTTGTAATTGACTTTCAAGACCATCCATGATAGTTCCAGCTATCCTTCATAATCAAATTTCTCACAAAGGTCCTGTTTCTGTTTTCCATAGCATTCCTGTTAGTTGAGTTGGCTCATGTTAGAAAGTACTTATGCAAAAGTCTATTTGACACATCACCATCACCTGGAGATTTTAGGAGTCTACTCTTCATCACTTATACTGTATCCAGCAAAAATGAGCACTTGCTTCCTTTACTTCTCCTTTTGCCTCAGCCTACAATGTTCTTCAAGTCACACTTGCCAACTCTAAACAATTTAAAAGATATTATTGGAGTACAGTGGTACCTCATTTTCCAAACTTAATTCTTTCTACAATTCTGGTCATGAAGTGATTTTGGTCATGAACTAAATAAAATTTTCCCAGAAAGTTTAATGTAGATAAGTTAATACATTCTGAATCATATCTATTTTTAACCACAAGAATGAAATAGTATAGTACAGTACAGTATGGAGAGAGAGAGAGAGAGAGAGAGAGAGAGAACACTTAGCTTGCTCAAGGTGACTATTTCTGGCATGGAGGACAGGAAGGTGGAAGGAAAGACTTATTGTTTAGAGAGAGACTTCCCTTCCATAAGGACACTGGGGAGATTTCCTAATGTGGTTTCCTCTCTTCTTTGTCTCTTAGCTGCAGGGTCAATTTTGATGAAAAATCTGTCTAATGACACTGGCTTTTTCCTGTGCTGTATAACTCTCTGGAAATGAGAGACTACATTATTGTTCATCAGATTCAATACTCTGTTGATTACAATTATGTTGGGGTCATGTTTCTCAAGGAAATCCTGGCACTCACTCCATTTTTCCATAATGGATTTTATCACATCACTGCTAATCTCCCCTCTGTCTTCCTCTTTCTCCATGGACTACTCCTCAACAAGTGCCTTCTGCTACTCACTCTGGAGTTCAGCAAGTTCTTTCACTATCAGCTCCTCCTTATGCCCTCCTCAAGCTCCTCTGTATCTGCACCATTGATGTCCAGACCCATACTCTTGTCATTGTTTTTGTCAATGAGGTTGATGCAGTGGAGAACACTGAAATGTTTCTTCCAGAACTCTTAGAATCAAGGACATCTCTTCAGTGACTTTAAAACACCTGGAGAAGAGAGCTTTTGTGTACAGCTTCTTGAAGTTGCAGATCACTTGCTGTCCCATGGGCTGAAGAAGAGATGTCTTGTTGAGTGGGGAAAAATTTGACCTTTATGAAGTCATATTCAGCATACATATCATCCGCCAAGGCTGTAGGATGTAATAGGATATTGTCCATTAAAAGAAGAAGACACCTTTCATGCAGTTGGTTGTTAGAAAGATATTTCTTAATGGTGGATGTGAATATCTCATGCACCCATTCCATGAACAATTGCCTTGTGGCCCAAGCTTTTGCATTGGCCCTTCACATGCCAGGCATTCTTGCCTTGCTCACATTCTGTTTCTTCAATGCATGGGGGGGGGTCGGGGAATGTATACCAGGAATGGCTTAATCTTTTTTTGGTGGTGTTGTTTTTGAGACAGGGTCTTGCTATGTAGTTCAGGCTGGATTTGAATTCACTATGTAATCCCAACTGGCCTCAAATTCACAGCAATCCTGCTGCCTCAGCCTTCCAAGTGCTGGGATTATAGTCATGTGCCACCACTCCTTAATGTTCTTAGTGGCTTAGTGGCTTAGTGTTCAAATGGGCACTTGCATTTGCACACAGCAAAAGGCCCGATGTGTCCTTCATGGGCTTGTACCCCAGCAGTGCCTTTTCCTTCAGTGTGATATAGGTTCTGTTCAGCATCTTCTTCCAGAAGAGCTGAACACTTGTTGAGTGAGGTATCCTTCTGCCTTTGTGATTTTCGTGAATTTTTTCTTGTAGGCTTCTGCAGCAGTCTTGTCAGAATTGGAAGCCTCTCATGTCTCATCACACCATGGATGTCACTTCTCTTGTGGAATTTATCAAACGACCCTCTACTGTTTAAATTCATCCATGAGAGGGGTTTTCTTGCAGAAAATCATTGTGCAAATTATTAGCATTTTCCACAGACCATAGCTTTACTAACACTATCACCTGCTGCTATTTCTCATTCAACTGCACTAATAAAAGTTTTTCCACCTCTTCCAGCACTGTGTCCTCTGCTTGGTTAACATCATTACTCCTTTTGCCACATCAGCTCCTTTAATAGCATCTTCTTTGTTCTTCAAAAGAGTCAAGGGGCCAGGGATTTAGCTCAGTGGTTCCACCACCTGCCTTGCAAGCACAAGGACACAAGTTTGTTCCCCGGTACAAAAAGAAAAAGTCAAGATTGTCAACTTCACCATCTTGTACTCACATGAATACCATGCTCATACTTTTCTATGATTTTCTTCTTCAATTCAATGTTTATTTTCTTCAAGATCTTCTTACCATTATTGCTCAGCAGTTTGTTACCTTAATTATTGCTCTGCACATTTTCATCACCTTTCTTACTGCTCTGCATTTTCTTTTTACCACCATGTTTGTTCTGCGCTTTCTTTGGAGCCATGCTGGATTGAGTAATACTGTGCAGAGCTGTATGTGCTACAAAGCACGCAAAAAAAAGTTTCACAGCAAGCGTGCACAGATCTGTGGCTGTGATCTTAACTAGAGGAAGCCACAACATGTCAGAGTGAGGAAGATGTCTGTATTCGTGTTTGTGTGGGGAAGATGGTTGTGGTCATGTTCATCACCCAGTGTGGAGTTCATCAATGGAAACAGAATTTTGCTGAGCTCTTCGTTTGCAAATTGAGCTGCTCATGAACAGAAGCATTTGTGAATCAAGGCCTTCCTGGGCCACTTCTTCCATAAAGCTTATATTGATCTCTGTGGCTGAATGCCATCTGTTAACTACCTGAAAAACTATAATAGTTGCTACATATGGCACATACCTGTGTCTGTGCCTAAGAGAAAGAAATGCTGGAGAGAAAGGCCATATTGACTTACATATTTACATCATATGGCTGAAGTGTCCCCAGTGCCATCCAGCCCTCATTACTCTGAATTCATGTTTAAATCATGATTAATTAATTTTCCCGTTGGTCTAGTCATTGTCTTTTGGTTTATCAAGCTCCAGTGAGCTTGGGATATGTGCCAATTTCTTTAGACCTGACCATTGCTGGGTCCAGAACCTTTACAGCTGGGAGCAGGTCATGAGTCATAATGATCCAAACTAGCTCGTCTGCTTTGCAAATCCAGGTGATTTATCTCTAACATCTCTAACATCTGTATGACCCTTGTCATGTGTTCCTTTATTTTAGTAAATGCTAGTCTCTTTGATGTCATGTATTGTTTTCTTCCTTCTTCTTCTTCTTAAATATCTAAACTATAGTCTTCCTTGATGATAGAATCTGGGCCTTTCTAGGATACATCAATTGATTATAAAGATACTCTATAATGTAGAAGAAATAAATCCATCACTGCAATGTTTCCCTTGGAACAGTCAATTCTCATTACAGTTTCTAATCACACTATAAAGCATAAGGGAGACCCAGTGGTCTAAACCACTTTAGTAGTACTACTGTCAACAATCCATTTATTTATTCATTCAACAAACAATTCTTAAGTATGGAATTTGCATCATGTGCTATGTAAGACTCTATAGCTCCAAAAATCTCTGGAGATCCAAAGATAAATTAAATATAATTCCTGCTCTCAAGGAGCTCACAAAGCACATTGAAAAAGACTGTGGGCCAATAATGTAACACAATATAGGTAGGAAGCTGAATAATGGAAACATGTTAGAGATTTATCCAAGACTATATAGAAACATAGTGATGGAATCTTAATTCAATCCTTTGTGTAACTAGGGGGCATTCAAGAGGATCCAGGAGTGTTGGCTCAGGAAAAGATTGTCAGTAGTTGTACCTGAGTTGCTTTGAAGGATGAGTAGGAGGAAAAGAGGTGATAGGAGGGGACAAAAATTTAGTAGTCATGGAAATTGTTAAACTGGACAAAAAACTATGCAAGACATGAACAAGCCTAGGAACTGAAGATGTTGGTAGCTTTCCAGTCAAATCCTTTACTGTGTTACCTTTTATGCTAGGCTTACAAGTAACTACGTACTCAATGCATATCTTCCATATGCCTTGCTGATATTTAGAAGCTCTACTGCTTACTGGAATCATGTGATAGCTTCCAGCTTGTTATTCTAATATAAACTGTTCACTTGAAGCATTCACGAGTATTATATTAAGATGTAATACTGGTAGAATGCCTTCCTCTTATGAAAGTTTTATTCTATGTAAGTTAGTATGTAAGAAATTCAAATTTATGAAAGATAAGTAATTTTCCATGACACTGATGTGCAATCATGTGTGTTTTAGTATATTCTCTCAAGTCAAATATCACTTATTTTGGTCACATAAATTTTATTTAG